GCATTTGACTGCGGGGAGGCATTCGACACTGCGTAACGCGGCTGCTCGAGACTCGGGGGGTCCTGGTAGCTCGAATGGCTCCCGCGGTGTTCTCGCTGCGGGATCTGGGGATACTGCTGGGACTGGTGAGACAAGACTGAATGGTAGCTCTGCTGCGATGCTGGTTGCGACGGAGGCGTGGGACGACCAATAGCGCTCGGCTTGTCGCTCTGCACATCCTGCGACATGGCCGAATGGTTGCTTCGCTGGCTGAACGAGCGCCCTTCACCAATACTCCCTTCCTGGAGATTCCGCAGGTTCTCGGCGTGGTTGAGGTTCGACGATGACGACGACGGCGGACTCATTCCGAGCGGGAGCGACGGTTGCGGCGGTTGCGGCGGTTGCGACGGTTGCGACCGTTGCGACGGTTGCTGCTGTTGTTGCTGCTGTTGTTGCTGCTGTGACGGGTGCGGGGGAGCTGGTGGGGGCTGCTGATAGGGATGCTGTTCGCGGAGCTCCGGCGAGAACGGGTTCGTCGACTTCTTTTCGGCGCCTGGAGAATGATCAGTACTCCAAGTGTGCAGAAGCCGAAGTGAGTCGTCTGTCCTCTGCGACGGTTGAGACTGACCATATGCCTGCTGTGCCTGCATCGGCACCGTCGGCGGCGAAATGCCCAGATGCTGCGGAAAACTCCCATTATCAGACCGATAGCTCGACGACAACATATTCCTTGCCTCGTTCGGCGAGGACCCCGTCTGCGGCGGCGGGGGTATCGGCGGCGGCGCAAAGCTGCCGGGTTTATGCGACGGCGACTCCTGCCCGTGGTAGCTCCCGCTGGAAAACATTGACGGCGACTGCTGCTGCTGCTGATACTGCTGTGACGAATCGTACGGCCTTGACGGGATTGCCACGGGCTTGGTGAAGGTATTGTTCGGCGAAGTCTGGTTGTAGTCTTGCGAAGACCGACTCTGGTGCACCACCACCGGCTTGCTCTGATGCTCATTGAACGCACTGTGTAAGGTCGGGTTACTCGTCGGCTGCGCAAAGCCACGAACCACCGGTGGCTCCTCAAAAGACTGATTCCGATTCAACTGTTGCTGCTGTTGGGGTGCCTGCTCATACGGCTCGTCGACATACGACTGCGGATTCGGCCTCGCGAAATGCGTCGCCGGCGAGCCACCCTGCTGTTTCTGTTGCTGTTGCTGTTTCTTCTCCATCGGCGGAAACTGTGGCGACGCCAGTGGGGTATCCTCCATCGTTACATGCTGCTGGCTCTCCAGATCAAACTTCATTTTCGGCCTTGTATACGCCTTTGGCGAACTCTGCTCCGCCGTCTGTTTCTGTTGATTCGTCTCCTTGCGGTACTCTTGTGCCGGACGATACTCTTCATGGCCGTGTCTGTAGCCTCCTGTTCCGGTATCGTCGTCCTCATGGTGAAACACCTCCGCGACACTCGGGAACACATCGTCATCATCATACTCCTCATAGCGCGCATGTCCATGGTGAGGATCCTTGTTCCCCTCAAACCCTCGCTGCGGCACATCATCCTCCCCATGTGTCTGTTCATACTCTTTCCCGATATTGTCGTGCTCTGGATCTGGTCTCAGCGGTTTCGATGCAAGCAGCTCCTGGTCGTCGTCGTCCCCGCCAGACTTGTCGGACGCGTTGAGCGGAAAACTAGGTCGTCCGGGTGAAGACGGGAACTCGTAGAAGCTGGACTGCTGGGACGATGACTGTTGGTGTTGCTGCTGTTGCTGCTGTTGCTGCTGTCGCTGCTGTACTTGTTGCTGTTGCTGTTGCTGCGGTTGTGGCTGCTGTTGTGACGCCTGCGCATCCCGATCTCGTTGTGGTGCCTCCATGTCGAATAACTAGACCACAATACTACTACTACTACTACTACTACTACTGCAATCACAAGCACACTACAAATCGTACACTCAAAGCACTGTCGTCGCGGTCGTAGTCGTGGTCGTCGTAGCGGTGATGGTGGAGATAATTTTACAACGTCTCTTGTGGTGTGCGCCCTGCGTGATACTTGGTTAGCCGATACTCGTTGATGGTGTGCCATCACGTTCAGCTTGCGAGAGCGGGGCGCTGGAAACACCATCACCGCAGAATCATCACATCCCCGTATCATCATCAAGAACCGTGATTCCAGTGTTGTTTTCATAGCAATGCCCCTCCAACTTGGGTGGTTGTGGTGCGGGGGCGGGGGCGGGGGCTCTGTTGCGCCTGAAAGGGGGGGCAGGCTGCGATGAGGGAGAGGGGGAGGGGAAACAGTCAACTCACTCTGTCATACAACACTCAACACAAAAACAGCACCAAAAAGCGTTGTCGTAACAAATATCGTCAAAAATCGTTCGTCGTCAAAATGCGTTGTGCCGCGTTATGTCGGGGGCTCGTTGATGGCGACGGTGATGGTGACGATGCGGAGAACCTGGGGGGTAGATGGGTGTGTGGGTGGGGGATCACACCTCACGACACGACTGACTTGACTCCCCACAGCTCGTGATGTGCGGGGGTGTCTGAAGGGTCGTTTTGTCGGGCACGGCGACGCAACCGACGATATCGCGGAGCTGGCGGTGATGGTGGGGAAGGTAGAGTTGGTGTTGGGGTGTTGAGGCGGGGGGAGGTGAGGAGGGGGGAGAGCGCGAACTCAGGACTCAGCCGCTGTCTGTGTCTGCCTGCTTGTGTGCGGAGAAAGTGGAGGATCAGGATCAGGAGGAGGTGCTTTGGTGATGACCACTCACACAGCAACGGGAGCAACAACACCGGCAACAGCAACAGCAATGAGAAGGCTATATCAGCGGCTCGGCTAGCCAATTGTGATATGGCGCCTGAAGGTGGAGACAGGCAGAGGCAGAGGCAGAGGCAGAGGCAGAGACCTGCAGAGGTGCCGTGAGCGTGGGAAGAGAAGCGACAGACCACTCAGAGCAAAGCAGACACTGCGAGAGCCGAGAGGAGCAGCCACTCGCCCTCACGATGGATAGCGATGGCGATGAGGGTGCGGGGCTGTCTGTCTGTTGAGCGGGGGAGAGAAGATGTAGGAGAGAGGAGATGTAGGACCATACTAGTACTATACACTCTATCAACATGAGTATCAAATATCACGATGAATTTACCTCGTGGTCCACACCCAACTTTGTCCACCCAACTTTGTCCACCCAACTTTGTCCACCCAACCTTCTCCAAACTCGTTTCAAACGCCAACCACCGGCTGGGGCTTCCTCGCTCGCTCTCTCGCCTGTAGCCTCTCGCCTCTCGCCGCCGCCGCACCCGCCGTCCATCACAATGAGTTGGCACCCCGCCGCAACTCCCGTAGCCAATGAAACACCGCGAACATCCCATCCCTGTCACCGTCACAAGAACCATGCGCACGAGAATATGACATGCGCAGAAACATCCTGGATAACGATTGAATTTCAAGCAAGTCCCGTGAACCGTGAACCGTGAACGCCGAATCCCTGCCGTGTCATGGCCAGCAGAACGAAACGAAACCAAAACAAAAAACAACAACATGGAAATCAAAAAAAAAAAAAAAAAAAAAAAAAAAAAAAAAAAAAAAAAAAAAAAAAAAAAAAAAAAAAAAAAAACACAAATAACGTCGTCCTCAATCCACCTCTCTCTCCCGTAAAGCGCCCATACATCGCCCGCAGAACTTCCCATTTGAATTTCTGACACTCCCCTCAAACCGACTCACTACTCCCCATCAACTTTGTCCTCCCCAGCTCCTTCTGCTGCTGCTTCTTGCGGTGGATCAACCACAGAATCAATGACAGCACGCCGATAACCACTACTAATCCTCCAAGTGCGAGTGCGAGACTGTGCTGTGTATTCATTGTGGCACGTTGTCTTCTTCTTGTTCGTCGTCGTGGCCGTGGGTATTAAATGAAGGAGTATCCCGGTGCGCGGAGGTCTGGTTCTGGTGGGAAACGCGTCGATGGTATCGTGTTCGTGTCGTGTTCTGTATACCCGCGAAATAGGTTGCCCTCGTATCCGATTCGATCGTGGCTGAAGTAGAGTTTAAGTTGCTCGCTTTTTCGTGTCGCTTCCGAGTTCTTCGCGTCGTAGAAAGTCTGTGTGGCAGGTGTTCCGCTTCTCAACCGGCAACTCTTCACACTCGGTCGTTCGTGTGTGCGTGTGTGTTCGTTCGTTTCGATCGCGGTTCGACAACAGCGGAAGGATGCCTCGAGAGTGTCAAGTGAATGAGAGTGGATGTCACTGAGGATCGCGCCGCATCAAAAACCAAATCCACTCCCAGCCTCGGGCTTGGACTCCGCGATGCGCAGGAGAGGCTGCCTGAAGCTGTCCGGTGTTAAACAGGGGCACCGGTAGACGAAATTAGGTGGGCTTCATTCAGGGTGCGCGGGTGGCAGTGTAACAGAGAGTGTGTAGAGTGTGTAACGCGAGTGTGATCTGCTGGTGTGGAGACTGGTGAAACCGGTGAAACCGGTGAAACGGGAGGATCAGCTTGGGATAGGATGGTGGCGGAGTTGTGCGATGTAAAGAAATAGCGCGATGGAAAAACTACTTGCGTGGGAATCATGGTTTGATGGATGCGAATCGAAGAGTGAGGATCCGGAGTGAAATCAACAGGATGAATGCACGCTCACCTCTTCCTTTTAATCTTGTCTCTGCCTTTTTGCTTCTCCATTCCTTTTTCCCTTGAGATAGCTCCGATCACCTGCTTGCGTCTCCGGACTTCCCTCTGCTCTTCCTGGAGCGTTCTGCCTTTCTATTCTTGTCTCTAGCTCCCGCTGTAAGACGGCTCCATTACACATATTGGTCTGGTGAAACAACCACAGATGTACATGATATACCACATTGGCAAAGCTGCTCTGATCATTAAATGACCCAACTTCTACATCATCACTATCACCAACATCATCGTTGGCTCCACGGCATTTTATCATTCACCACCGCCACAAATCCCCACAACCACAACCACCTCGGTATCTCCCAAACAAGCCTGCCTAAACCATTACAATATCAATCCTTTTTTTTTAATGTAAACCAAGAATGATTCAGTGGTGTAGGGGTATCATGGGCGCTTGCCATTGGCAAAGTGCGCCCGACCCGGGTTCGAATCCCGGCTGAATCATGTTTTGCCCTCCATGGCTACAGCAAGTCTTTGTCCCCAGGCCTTACGAAGTAGAGTTGTTGGCGGGTTTGGAGGTTCATATATGGAGGGTAGGTTTGATCTGTTTTACGTAATTCTTTTCCGTGCCATCACTCGATTTATCGAACATGATCTGTGGCCGACTGGTCACAACTGGCCTCCAAAGTATACACAAGAGTTCATGATCCCGACTTGGGCCTACATCAGATCCAGATACAGTAATTTTGACATCCCAACTTGGTCAACGTCCAAGCGAGTTCCTTGGAACCAACTACTTGATCACGAGCTCTATCATATCTCGTAGTGAACCTCCCCCACCCACTCCTCTGGGCAGCCTGCGAAGATGGACAACAGCAATGGCCCGAAAATCAGAATAGTTCCCGGATCTTCCGCGTCGAAAACGTCGACTACCAGTACTCAGGGCTCACTGACGAATAGGTTGCTCGAAATCATGCAGAGGATGGAAGAACTTTCCAGACCCCAACACCGGGAATCTCCGACAGGAATATCAACTAATAGGATGACCGCTCTTAATCCAATGTTCAAGACATGGACTCGCATCGATGTTGACAAAGAAGACAGCCTGTGCACGGCCAGTACCTCGCACAAAGATAACAGCGCGTCTGCTCGAGGACTTACTCCCGCCGCTTCGTCGAGACCCTCAACCTCAGCCTCAACCTCAACTTCACAAAGCTTGACAGCTCGACAACCGCTTCCTTCACCACTCCCACCCCCCAAACCAGTCCTTTCTTGCAACACCTGTCTCAACCTCATCAGCGGGTCTCTCTCCATCAAAGCCAATTGCTCGAGATGCAAATCTATCATGGCCACAGTGAGTATAGAAAGTCGAGTCGTAAACAACATCGGGCTTCTCACGATGAACCTATGTAATGTCAGCAAGAGTTGTCGAGCCTTCATGCCATAACTATTCACCATACCATATCCAGGCGATCCTGTTTAGTTTCGTCCGTCGGAAGTTGGTATTGCTCTTTCGACATCCGATGATAACGGCGGCCTGAGGATGCTGGTTAGTGTTACTCTTTTCATGGCGTGGTTCTTAAGCTTACCATTCTCATAAACGTGTTCCAGGATGGACTCCGTCAAGCTTTGGGCGCTGCTGGCACTGTCGGGAAGATCAACTCAGCATCAACTCCAACTTTGAAGAACCAAGAACCAGGCTCACATACACGCTTTGTTCGTCCCAGTCGGATGTTGTGTCGTTGTTAAGAGACCACTAACCGGCTGTGTGTGCTCATCTGGCTCTTCCAAACCGATCGCGATGGCAAGATGTACCAGGATTGAAGCTCACCAGAGCTGGATCTTGCATGGGCGTGAGGCCACAAGTGTAAATAGCCGCGAGAATTGCATTAGACGAGCGCATAGAGATCTCAACTCGCGGAAACTATCAACCAGATGGATTCGGCTGCCGTCTCTTGTGCAGTGTTGGCCTTGTATTCTGGCCACAATGCGTGATGCTCCGGATTTGTGGGTGTGCAGCTCTAGAGTAGAGCACAGTGCGTATAGTGCACCTTCGTGAGGAATTCGATGGTAGTTATCGTACCGGTAGCAGGATCGATACAAACGGCAACCTCGAAGATGGGCAATCAGCGATGAATTTGAAAATTGGATGGAGGGGCATTACCAATCGATGAATGACAGCAAGAATCGACGGCGTGCGAGGTTGGTGTGGTGATGAAGTTATGGAATGTGAAGATGCCATCTCCTCTCCCCGCTCGTTTGTAGTTGCCCATTGCAGCCCACCCCTCACTGCCAGCTCTCCATATTTAGCTCCATACCACTCATCCAACCTCAGACGACTTCAATCACAGTTTCCCGTCATTTAATCAGGATTCATTCTACTCTTTTGGACCGTCATTCACGGCTTGGGCAGAATGTGGATATTAGGCCACCGAAACCGCTGACGCCAGTGCTAGTGAGAGCGCCGTGCTGAGGCTTGCGAACCTTGTTGATACCTCTGTTTGCTATCTCCATTCCGCAACCACGCTACACCTATCGTCCTCTCTTTCACAATCCTTTACCGACACTTAATTTCCCGCTGACCCAACACCTTCAGCCATGACGACAATCGGCGAAGGAACCACGACGCGTGCCATCTTCGATTCGTACCGCTTCGATGTCGATCTCTTGAGAAGTCAGCAGAAAGGCAAACAGCGGGCCGGCGAGCTCACCGACTTCGAATTCGCACTTAATCTGTTCCTCGCCGATCTGGACGAAACCGAGCAGCTTGTTACCGATCGCATCATGGCCGAGAGTCTGGCCCACGCCGTGTATACAGACGAGGTTTTGATTGCGGAACTGATTGACGAGGAAACTCAAGCAACGCGAGATCACAACTTTGCGCAGCAGGTGGAAAGGCGTGAGCGAACTGGAGAAACCGTGGTTAATACATCTCCACCGAGTTCTTCAAGCCTCGGACCATCAAACGGAGCGGTCAACGCTTCAGGGAGCACAGCCAACGACGATCTGGACGACCTAGACGCCCTTCTAACCAAAACGGACGCCTCCACTCCCGAAAAGCTCCAGCAGGCCATTGCCGAAAGAAAATACACCACGCGAGTCTGCAACACCTGCTTTGAGCGAACCCACTTCTCGTCATCGCTGACTACAAAGTGCGGCCACAACTTTTGCCGCTCCTGTGTTTGCAAGCTGTTTGTGCACGCTACAACTGACGAATCGCTCTATCCTCCCCGCTGTTGCCGACACCCAGTTCCAGTTGAAAAGGTTCTCGGATGGATGAAGCCTGTTGATGCGGCTAAATTTCGAAAAGCTGCATTGGAGTATGAAGCTGAGGAAAGGACGTACTGCTTTGATCCCAAGTGCGGGGCATTCATAATATCCACCGGACGTGATGGAGCGGTGTCATGTCTGAGCTGCAAGAAGCTCACCTGTGGGAGATGTAAAGCAGCGGATCATGGGATGCTGGATTGCCCTAACGATGGTTCACTGAAGAAGGTGTTGCAACTTGCTGAAACGTCGGGTTGGAAGCGATGTCCCAGATGCAGGGCGGTGGTGGAGCGGGTATCAGGATGTGATCATATAACGTGAGTTACTCCTTTCTAGTGCACTCAAGTAAATAAAATAGAAGGATAACCCCCCGGGGGGGCACGATTATTGCTAGTTACTGACTTCTTCTAACGAACAGTTGCAAGTGCGGTTCGCATTGGTGTTACATTTGTTCTATGCCCTGGACCGGTAATGATCACACTTGTCCTCCGGCAACATCAGCAGCAGTTGGTGACAGGCCCAGGCACCAGCACCCTGTTCAGCCCCAGCAGCTACCCCATCAACCTGCGATTTACCGGGAGACACTTGACGACCCTGAGTTTGACTTGGAGGTATTTGACGACCCTGAGTTTGACTTGGAGGCATTTGACGGCCCTGAGTTTGA